TTTATGTATTTATAAGAATGGAAAGATATACTAAAAACTAATAAAACTGGTCACTACAAAGGAGGGAGAAACAAGCCGGAGAAGGTGCAGAGAGACAAGCTTGGTAGATTTGTGGAACCATATAAATACTTTACATAATTATAAGACAAAATTAAATTTTTAGAAAGGCAATCCATAAAAGCAAATATAAAGCAAACCTAAATGCTTATTGAGTTGGTAGCTTAACCACACAAAAAATTAATTACTTCAAATGACTTTAAAAATAAGGTAATTTGATTGTTCAGCCCTAGTTAGATATTCTCTAGGGACAAAAATCACTACAAAAAATAAAAAATTATTTTTCAATAAGTATGTTACTAGTAATGCTACTGATAGAGTTATTCTCAAACTATTATAGTATGTATTAGCGTACTATAATTAAAAAAATAATTAATTTACTATCATTACAAACTAGAATTTTCAACAAGGAAAAGAAAAAACAAAATTTTAAATAGATAAGTTGTGGAGTCTAACTGGAATTTGAAATATCAGTACAAACTTATCTTTTTTCAAGAAAGGAAGGAAGACTACCTTGCTAGCTCTTTTCAGTAAAAAAGGTGATAAAACAATAAAGAAACCAGTATCAATCAACACCCTGAGAACTCCAGATTATGGTTTCTAAATACCATTTCCTTTCAAAAGGAACAAGCCCCTTAGAGAAATGGCTGACTCCAAATATAATGTAGGAAATGTATAACAAGAGCCTGAAATATCTTGTTAAGCATACCAGAAGTTATTAAAGACTACTGGAATTCTATCAGAAGACTCAAAAGGCAACTCAAAATGGTTCCCACTGGTCATAACGAGATAATAAAAACAAAAAAAAAATAGGAACTGCCAAAACCGGGTTGGCTCAGTGGTAGAGCGTCAGTCTGCTAACTGAAAGGTTCCGAGTTTGATTCCGGTCAAGGGCATGTACCTTGGTTGCGGGCACATCCCCAGTGGGGGGTGTACAAGAGGCAGCTGATCGATGATTCTCTCTCTTCGATGTTTCTAACTCTATTCCTCTCTCTTCCTCTCTGTAAAAAAATCAATAAAATATATTAAAAAAAAAAAAAAAAAAAAGCACCTGGCTGGTATGGGTTAGCAATTGAGCTTTGCCTCCAGAACCAAGAGGTTGCTGTTTCAATTCCTGGTTAGGGCACATGCCAGGGTTTCAGGCACGATCCCCTAAGGAGCATGCAGGAGGCAGCTGATGGATGATGTTATACTCTCTCAGCAATGTTTTTATCTCTCTACACTTCTCCTTCCCCTCTCTAAAAATCAGGGGTTGGTGGGAAGATATCAACCAAAGAACCTGTATGCATCTATGCATAACACATGGACACAGACAATAGAATAGTGAAGGCAGAGGGGGAGGTGGACAGGAAAAGGCTAGAAGGGTTCAATGGGGGGAAAGCGGGACATATGTAATACTTTAAACAATAGATTTTAAAAATGTATTTTTAAAAAATTAACTATAGCATATAAATGTGTGTGTGTGTGTGTGTGTGTGTGTGTGTGTATATATATATATATATATATATATATATATATATATATATATATAGTTCATGCACAGTCACCTTTGGAAGGTGCTAGTGTGAAAACCAATTATTCTGGAACTGTTTTTTAACAGGTGTGTTGGGATAGAGATTGAAGAATTTATTCTGCTTTTTCTAGATGAACTATATCTTCAAATAATCAAATAAATTATATATATATATTAGAGGCCCGATGCATGAAGATTCTTGCAAGAATGGGCTTTCCTTCCCCTGGCTGCAGGCACCGCCTTCGCTCTGGCCCAGAGCTGCCTTTCCACCTTCCCATGCTGCCCAGAGGCCTGGAGCAACTGGGGTGGTGCAGAATGCCATAGCAATAACACAAGCATCCCGCCCCATCCCACCCCGCCCCTGCATATGCAAATTAACCCGCCATCTTTGTTGGGTTAATTTGCATAGTCACTCCTGACTGGCTGGTGGGCATCGTGACGGTATGGTCAATTTGCATGTTACTCTTTTGTGTGTGTGTGTGTGTGTGTGTGTGTGTGTGTGTGTGTGTGTTTAATTCTCATCCAAGATATTTTTCCATATATTTTTAGAAAGAATGGAAGGGAGGGAAGGGGGGGGGGGGAGAGAAAGAAACATCCCTGTGAGGAAGACATATGGATTGGTTGCCTCCTGCATGCATCCTGACTTACAACTGAGGTATGTGCCCTTGAACCCATGATACTTTGGTCTAAAGGCCAATGCTCTAACCACTGAGCAAACAGCTAGGGCAAATTTTACATTTTAAATAAAAGCATTTGTGGTAATAAATGAAAAAGGAACAAATGATAATATTATCATTTTGCAACTCTTAATGAAATAATGAATCTAGCAATTGATCATTAATGTTTACTAAAATTATCAAGTGAAAAGCTACCAGGGAACTTCATATTGAATGAACCAGAAAAGCAACCTTATCACATTCAAGCAATCTTATCACAAAAAGAGAGACATGTAGACTTTTAATGCCACACAAAGCAACATAATAGAAAATACATAAAACCTTCTATGAAATATTCTTTCTTTCTTTTTAATATTCTTTTTATTAGTTCAGTCCTGAATCTGACCAAGTTTATAGAACTACCTACCAGTTCACTGCAAACACAGAAGTCAGGGAACATGTTAAACCTTAAAAGATTTTTCAGGAATATCGGAAATTCTACAGAGCAAACTTGGTTTCTTAAATATATTGCAAAGGGATGAGGGTTGGAGGGAAGGGAATCCAGAGAGAGGAAATTCACAGATTAAGAGAGAAGTGAGACATGTCAACCAAATATAATACGTGAACTTGTTTGGAAACTAGAGCTCAAATAAAATTATTTTTAAAAAAAATGTGAGCAAGAAATCTGAATACATATTAAGGAATTACTTTTTTATGGTAGTAGTATTCTAGCTTTGTTTTAAAATGGCTGCTTATCTTTTTGATACATACATATATAGCCTAAGATTGAAATAATACCCTGTCTAGGATTTGTTTCAAAATTATCTGAAGGGGAGAGGGAGAGGGAGAGGAGTACTAATGAAATAGAACTGGACACACACTATTGATATTTTGTGACAGTTAGATGGGAGTTTTGTTATATTATTTTCTCTACTTTTATACACGTTTGAAATATATTTTTTGTAATGAAAAATTTTGGTATTCTTTTAAGCAGAAATTCAAAAGACCTCTCTTCAGCTTCCTAGGATATCACTTTTAAATGAAAAGATACAAGCTCTTCGATGTTTATCTTAGGTGTATGGTGATTATAGACTATACCCCCCTGTATGGCATGTATCTAAATGCAATCCATCTGCTTGAGTACTTTCTTCCCTTCAGGACAGGGCTATCCCAGACCTGGAAAAATGTATGAGGGCGGAAAGAACAGGGCTCTTCAGATCACCCTGGAATCCAATCCAATTCAAGAACTATTTAACCTCCTGTGCCTCTGTGAAATGGGGATAACTGCTCATCCCTCACAATGTTGCTATGAGCATCACATGAGATAAAATGTGAAACACCTAGCCCAGAGCAAGCACTCAGGAAACTGACACTTGAATATTTATTTATTCATTCATTAATTCACCAAATATCTGAGTACATGCTGTGGATCAGTTATGTGCTAGAGATACAAAGACTCAGAAAACATGGCACCTGCCTTGGAGGAAAATAGCAAAGTAAATCCATGATTGTAGTGGTAATGTATTTAAAGTTCTGGAAGGATAAAATATTTGGATCTAAAATTCTATATCCAGGAACATTATCAATTAGGAAGATGAAATAGAGGCATTTTTTAGTTTACTAATCAAACAATTTATGTGCAAACAAAACAAAACAAAAAAAAAAACAATACACCACTTAGAAAAGGAAGTTAGTTCCCTCAAAAAATCTACACAAAAATGGCTGAGATATTTAGAAGATTCTCCTTTGGCTAGCAAAGCTTGAATGACATAGGAATACATTTTCTTCTCTGTTGGCCCAAATATGCAGCCTTTCTTCACTAGAGAATTATATTTATACAATCATAATAATATACATGCTATATACTTCCTGCTATCTCTTGGAATCAACTTCTCAAGAAAGCACAAAATATAGATACAAAAAAGTAGGAAGTAGTATAAATAACCTAATGTAGTTAACGAAAGTGAGAAGGGGACAGAGAGCAAAGGAAGGTACTATATGTGCTTAATTTTTAATTTTATATAGAAGCAATCAAGATATATTGGCCAAAGTTGATAAGACTTTTTAGTTAAAGGTAGAGTGAAACCACCAAAAGAAAATGATGATAAAGTTGCTGTCACAGGGAAGGAGAACTGGGAATGGGGAGCAGATTCCCCTACACCCGTGCATTTTATATTCTCTTGTACTATGCAAGCTTTTAAAAATTTGTGCATTTGTCACTTCAATGGTTTAAAAAGTATCAAGGGAAACACTTTCTCTGCTAAAACATATGTAACCCACAAGATCTACATTGAATTTGCTAACACTGCTCAAATACAAGAAAGATTCTGAGGTCACTAGATAATTTCTACAGTACATTCCAGAAACTAAAGGTCTATCCTAAGGAATATGCAAATTTTAGGAGGGTCATTTGGTTAATATACAGAGACAGATGTGATAAAATCTATTCCTAAGCTGTAGAACATGAAGCAAATAAGAACAAAACAATAGGAAGTTTCCCCAGAAAAAGGCAGCTGAGAACCAAGAACAGAAGCATTAAAGTTGAATGGAGTCAGGAGTAAAAAAGACACAAGAGATGGTAAGCAGTATGAGTGAACCAGCTGTGGTTGATAAAGCACAGAAAGAATTGTAACTTCTGATATTATGGGGAAAAAAATTTTTTTTAAAGTCCTATCTCAAAAGTCAGATTTATTATTTACAGTAGTGTAGGGAGCAAGAAAAAAAGATATTGCTAGAATAACTGTGCTTTTAAATCAATAGCCAATGATTCTTACCTCTTGGTGCAGTAATAGTGATTCTGCAGAGCACAGGATATGCACTGATTTAATCGCTTTCTCTCAATCTCCTTCCAACTATCTTCTGGCCACTTTCTCTTGATCTGCTTCTCCTCATGTTTTTTCCCCACATATTCAGCATAGGTCTGAATCCGATAGCTTTCTGCGTATTTGCTGGTATTGACAGCTACAAGAAAAAGAAAAGTCATTATGAAAGAGCCTTACCTAGCCCCTGAGGTGTCATTGAGGTAGTCAAAGGAGCCCTAGATTCAGGTCTGAGCTCAGACACCAGATCTGACACTTAGAAGCCAGGTGGCCTTGGGAACATTCCTTGGGCTCGCCAAGTCTGAGTTTCCTCATCGAGAGGAAAGAGAGAGTCATTACTCCACAGTGTCACCCACAGTGTGAAAGTGCTCTGTAAACTATAAATAACCGACATGCTGTAAGTAAAAGATTAATTTTCAAAATATTTGCAGATAACAATGCTGCTTAAAAATCATTCATTTCCAGAGTAAGAAAATGAAAACAACAACAAAACAAAACTACTAAGGGAAAACTGTAAACCCTCGTTTATTTTGTTAAAAACAAAAATGGCAATAAAAGCAATCTTCACTGTCAAATACTGAAATTCTCTGATATGTCTGTGTCCAGTGTTTTGCATACATGATGTCTAATCTTCACAACAGACTTAAAAGGAAGGAACTGATTTTGCTGATGAGAAAGCAGGGCCACAGAAGTCAGGTGACTTACTGCAGACCTCACCCCAAGTGGGTGGCAGCGATGGGATGCAAAACCAGGTTACTTTGACCCTAAGGCCAGGGCCTTCTTGCTGCTCTGCACCTTACTTCAGACTCTGCAAATTCAAGAGATGCCCACAATGCCTAAGACATGCCTCTTCTCCTTCCGCTTTTAAAGACTGCTAATTCTCTGTGATGTACCTCTGGCTGGCAGCAATACTTGAAAGCTGGATGGAGCTTATTCCCTCCTTGGTGTTAATGCTTGACTAAGGCCAGATCAGTTTTGCTGCAATCCTTTGCTGTGTCCTCTCAGAGGCCAGTGGGATGGAAAAGCTGGTGGAGTAGGAGTGAGGTCCCGTGGGAGGCCTGTGGGTGGATAGGCACCCACTTGCTGATTCGGGCGCATGCAATTTGAGCATACTCTCTCCTAGCCCACTCTCACTGCCAACAATTATTACCCACATTGGCAGTGACACAGTAAGATCCTGGCCTTGCTGACTTGGTACGTGGGCAGCTGCAAAAGCACCTTACTGTTTGAGAGAGAATCCATATACCCAGTTCTAGCAAAGTTCTTGGTACAGAGTACTTCTCAATAAATATTACGTGAATGAGTGCAGGCAGAATGCAGCAACTGGTGATAAGCATGCAGGGTTTGAGAACATCAGAACCGGACAAAGGACTCAATTATATTAGGGCCCTGAAATCAGAGGGAAAGACAACTGTGTGAGAAGCAGATGCCCTGTATATCCTACACTTGACACTTAATCCTCATCCTAAGTGGGCCAGATTTGCTAAAACTTCTCAGCACAATAGTGGATTACAGAATGTCGTGCCCTAAATGTTTAGCTATTTAAAGAGCAAACTAAAAATACAGAAAAGAAAAACCAATTCTATAGAAACACAAATTTTTCTAAGAAGTTTGCTGTACTTTTCAAACATTCACTCTAGAGTTAAAGAGAAACAAAAAGAAAGAAAAACAGCAAAAAACCATGAGGGTATTAAGGAGCTTAAATAGTATACAGTCTCCCAAAGAAATAGAGTAAGTTACTGAAATGTGAGCTCAAAATGGTGTTCTCTGACTCACTCACAAGGAGATAAATGGGCATCAAATTTTGGAGACATGCTATTGATCAAAGTCACTCCTTTCTTGAAAACCTTACTCCTCGTGACAGTTCCTTTTTTCCTACATTCAGTGGCCACATTTCTAACTTTTCCCCTTATTTATCTAACCACCCAATGTCCATGTAAACAAACACCATCCATCTATGCTTCCATCCAGTAATTGTTCACTGTCTGTCTAGGGACTATGCTAGGTATTTGATTTAAAAAAAAAAAAAAAAAAAAAAAAAAAAGCCGAAACTGGTTTGGCTCAATGGATAGTCAGCTTGGGGACTGAAGGGTCCCGGGTTCGATTCCAGTCAAGGGCATGTACCTTGGTTGCGGGCATATCCCCAGTGGGGGGGGGGGGGGGGGTGTGTGCAAGAGGCGGCTGATTGATGACTCTCTCTCATCGATGTTTCTAACTATCTCTCTCCCTTCCTCTCTGAACAAAATCAATAAAATAAAAAAATAAAAATAAAAAAAGACACAGTCTCTATGCCCTTAAGCTCACCCTGTCACATGCAAGCTTTATGTAGAGTTGATTTCCCTATCTCCCTGAGACTATCTACTACAACAGGTTAACCTACCAAAATGATACAGAGAGAACCCATAGAGTCTCCCATCATTATTCTGTACTGACTTGGTAAATAAACACTTCCTGGATTTTCCTCTTTAACTTTCATTCCTATATCCAGCATGTTCATTTTGCAAATGTCCCCAGAAGGGATGACATCTACAATAATCTCTCTTTTGAAATTAACTGGGACTACAGTGCACCAAGTAAAAGAGTAGGCCTGAGTCAGTATCCCCCAGGAAAACAAAGGTGGTAACTGGATCACCAAGGAGCTGTTTAATAGTGTCCAATTGTTTCCAATCATTTCACTCTCAGTCCCAAGGACAAATGTTACACACAACCCTCTAACCTCCGAAGGGGAATTTATTTGAGCACATTTGGAATTAGGACTGCTTTAAAAGGGAAAACAAATAACAATCCACTTTTCACTCCTGGCCTTCACATGGCAATAATTTACCAGCATTCCTTCAAGTCCCAGCAGCTTTGCAGCTCTCGGCCTTTAATCTGGAAGCTAAATTCTGGCTCGGAGCCACCCTTCTAATGGATGAATCAGCAAAATGAATTGGCTGTCAGCTGTGTCCTCCAGTGATTCCAGCTTGCCTGTCAGAAGCAGCGTGTAGTCAGCTGCTTGGCAACACCAACCCTTTTCCAAATTTGTCAAGGAAATGATTCAAGGCCATCTTTCGGTCGTGCCACTTGGTTAAAGCCTCTGGGGAACTAAAGACACTGAATGTCCTCCCAGTTTGCTTATAGCTGAGTGAGAGCAGTTCCTCCCACATAATAGTCTCATCCACTCACAGCTTCATTGCACTGAGTCCACTGTCTCTTGACACTCAGCACACATTTCAGCATTTAATCTTCACAGTAACACCGCAAGGAAGGGATGTTCTAGTCATCACGCAGACAGTGAGACAGAGCATTAGGGAAGCTAAGCAGCTTGCCTAAGACCTTTAAGAGAGCAATAAAGCTGGTATGAAACCAAGATGAGTATTTTCTTTTTTTCTTTCTTTGTTTCTTTCTTTGTTTCTTTCTTTCTTTCTTTCTTTCTTTCTTTCTTTCTTTCTTTCTTTCTTTCTTTCTTTTAATGTAATATTACCCACAGGTTTGCCATATATTTGTTTGCATTTATGTATTTATTTAGATGGTCAATTATTTTATAAAATGATTCTTTTAGTAGTTTTATAGAACTATTTAAAATGTTTAGATTTTTTTCTTTCTAAAAATTAAGAACGTTCCATTATTGTCAAGCTAGATCTCTCTAAGTTGATAGGTACATTATGTTTAAGGACAAGAAGAGTTAACACCAGATGTAGATTCCTTCCTAAGTTAATCTATAGATTTAATGTAACTGCAGAAAAAAAAAAAAAAAAATTAAATCCCAGCACTTTAATATAACATTGGAAAAAAATTAAATGAAATGAGAAACAAATCTGAACAGAAAACAGAGCAGTGGTAGCCAACAGCAGGAGGAGGTCAATTCCAAGGAGATGAGAGAATTTTGGGGTGATGGAACTGCCCTATATGTTGAGTGTGGTGGTGATTACATTTGTTGAAATACAGAATTATTCAACAAAGAGGGTACTTTTATTGTATATAAGTTATACCTCAATTATTCTGTGGAATTAGAAAGGTTGATTCCAAAACTTAAATGGAAGAACAGGCCAAGAATAACCCAGACATTTCTGAAGAAGAAAAGAAAGGGGTACTTGCTGGGTAGCCAAATAAGCTTATTGGAAAGCTGCAGTAATCAGGCAGTGTAGTAATGGTATAAAGACAAACTAAGTGACCAATGGCGTAGAGGAGCCTAGAAATAGACTTATGTGTCTGTCAAAGATTGCTTTTGGACAGACAGCATGACAGAGAGTGTAGAAAAGGAAAAGTTGGAAAAATTGTTCATCCACAGGAAAAAAATGAAATTGAATTCTTACACTGTGCCAAAAAATCAACTCCAGATGGGTGAAGTACTTAAATGTTAAAAGCAAACTTGAAAAGAAAATATAAGTAAATATCTTTCTGAGCTTGAAGTAGGAAAGAATTTATGAAGATACAACGTGTTAAGCATAAGAAAGATAATAAATTTGGCTACACTAACAGGAAAACTTTTGTGCATTAGAAGACACTTTAAAGAGAGTGAAGACCATCTACAAAATGAGAGGAGATATTTGTAACATATGCAACTGATGGAGTTGAGCACCAGCATACATAAAGACACCTACAAATCAGTAAGAAAGCACCCAACAGAAAAATGGGCAAAAGACATAAAAAGCATGCATAGCCACTTCACAGAGAAGGAAGCATATGACAATAGTTATATAAAGAAATGTTCAGCCTCAGGCAATAGATAACATGTTGTAGATTTGTAGTGGGAGGGAGAGCACGAAAGGGAAAGGGTGGTGGGGAGAGAGAGAGGAATGGATGAATACAGGTGGGGAGAGATGAAGAGAAGTAAAATAAAAACAAGAAAATGATTAGCACAGCATTTGGAAGAGTGGCTGCCCCCGGCAGGGAATCAGGAGGGTGGGATAGGGTAGTAACAACAGGTAGATGTAATTTATTGGCAATATTTTAGTTCTTTAGTTGAGTGGTGGTTTCCTAGATGTTCATTACATCTCAACCAAACAAATTGTTTAGGTTTTCTGTTGTCTACCCTGTCCTACCAAGGGCCATTTCCAATACAGACTGTCCAAGTCTGAAGGTCTATGAAAGACCAGGTTAGTTACTTCAGTCTCAATGTCTTCTGTGATACGAAGCTGCCCCTGAATGGCCCAGGTGGTG